TCTTTTTTCTAATTAAATGGTTTATTCTAAAATCCCTTTTAGAACAGCGAACTCTAATCTTGAAATGACGGAAGGGACATTTCTATCATTGCAAGGCTTCTTTTTTGAAACAAGGTCTCACTCTGTCCCCCAGGTGGGAGCGCAGTGGTGCAATCATGGCAGGCGGCAGCCTTGACCTACTGGGCTCAAACAATCTTCCCACCTCAGCGTCCCAAGTAGCTGGGACTACAGGCAAGCACAACCATAACCAACTGATTTTATTTTTTATTTTTCTTATTTTTTTGAGACGGAGTCTTGCTCTGTCACCCAGGCTGGAGTGCAGTGGCACGATGTTGACTCACTATAACCTCTGCATCCCTGGTTCAAGCAGTTCTCCTGCTTCAGCCTCCTGAGTAACTGGGATTACAGGCGCACACCACCACACCCAGCTAATTTTTGTATTTTCTTAGTAGAGACGAGGTTTCACCATGTTGGTCAAGTTGGACTCGAACTCCTGACCTCATGATCCACCCAACTCGGCCTCCCAAAATGCTGGGATTACAGGTGTCAGCCACCATGCCTGGCCGCAACTAATCTTAAATTTTTTGTAGAGATGGGGTCTATGTTGTGCAGACTGGTCTCAAACTCCTGGGCTCAAGAGAGCCTCTGACCTCGGTCTCCCAAAGTGCTAGCATTCCAGGTGTGAGCCACCACACCCAGCACCTGCAGCACCCAGGTCTATCAGTGCTGACCTAGAACCTCTCGAGAGTTTCTTAAGAATTCAGAACTGGGGGTATTAGCCAAGATGGCGGCAGCCGCAGCGAGTCGAGGAATCGGGGCAAAGCTGGGCCTGCGTGAGATTCGCATCCACTTATGTCAGCGCTCGCCCGGCAGCCAGGGCGTCAGGGACTTCACTGAGAAACGCTATGTGGAGCTAAAGAAGGCGAATCCCGACCTACCCATCCTAATCCGCGAATGCTCCGATGTGCAGCCCAAGCTCTGGGCCCGCTACGCATTTGGCCAAGAGAAGAATGTCCCTTTGAACAACTTCAGTGCTGATCAGGTAACCAGAGCCCTGGAGAACGTGCTAAAGTGGTAAAGCCTGAAGCCTCCACTGAGGAATAAGAGCAACAGCCCCAGAGCCTGGCCTCTGCTGGACTTAGTATAATGTGAAAAAAATGTGTTCTCCTATTCCTCATAAAACTTGTGCTGTAAAATACTTTCTCAGGGTGTTCTTGTCCTCATCTACCCTCTATCCCTTACTGTAACCACTGAGGCAAAGTAGCTTAATATAAAAATAAAACTTTATTCTGTCTCATCAAAAAAAAAAAAAAAAGAATTCGCAGAACGGGGCGCAGGCGGATGGCTGGCCGCACGGCCGCCTGCGTAATGTTCCAGACTTTTGCGGGAGGCAGGCAGGGTGGAGTCACTGTGTGAGTCAAAAAGGTTGCGAAGACCAGCAGGCTGACCACATGGTGGGAAGACTCTCATCCTGGCTTGACGCTCAAAAAAAGAAAAAAAAAAAGATGTGTTAGGAGAAACGCGATGGTGGTGCAGTACCGGTAATCCAAGTTGTACTTGGGGGCCAGAGGCAGCGGAGAATCACTTGAACTGGGAGGCAGAGGTAGCAGTGAGTCAAGATTGTGCCACGGAACTCCAGCCTGGGTGACAAGAATGAACTTCTGTCTCAAAGAAAAAAGAAATCAGAACTGGTTACCTTTTCAAAGCGGATGAGCAAGGGTGCATATCCACGAGCCACTTCCCCCTACTTGACTAGTTTGCTGAAGTGGCATTCTGTAAGCACGATAAATTTAAGGGTGCAAACAGAACGGCGCAGTCCACTGTGGGTGGCTGTTCTTTATGTGTCAGCGGGAGTCCCAGGAGCTGTGAGAAACCAGTGTGAGCTGGCTGGGGAGGGAACGAGGGGCTGGATGGGGTTCAGAAATCCACATTAAAAAAAAAAAAAACCGACAAGATAAAGCAACCTATCTTTGGAGAGAAAGACAAAAAAATGAGAGGGATAAAAAAATGAGGACAGGCTGGGCGTGGTGGCTCCCGTCTATAATCCCAGGATTTGGGTAGGCTGAAGCAGGCAAATCACTTGAGGTCAGGAGTTAGAAAGACCACTTGGGCATGGGTGATAGGAGGCTGTCTGGAAACAAGGCTGGTAAGGAGGCCACTTTTGAGGACCAAGCAAGTGGGGCAGAGGCCTGGCTGCTGGCAAGAAGACAACGTGGACGGGGTAGCGGGAGGTGAGCCCAAAGGTGAAGCAAGGGGCACACTGCAGTGGGCACAGGGCAGGCCAGGGGAGGCGAGTGACATCTCTGCCCAGAGAGAACACACAATCACAAAGTTCAACACCGCTTACCTGGTGAAACCCTACAATTCTGTCACTCTGTACTCGCTCTGAATAATGGGCTTGCGATAAGTCTTACACCAATTCTCAAACTGGGTGGCCAGCTGCAGCAGAATCAACGCCAGTTGCCCGTAGTCGTGATACCAAGTGTAGTAGCTGTTCACACAGATCACGTCCACATACGGAGGCCAGGACCAGAGCGGCAAAGCCCGTTCAGCACCCAGAAGACTGCATGACTCAGCACTCACACACTACGGGGGCTCTTCTGGCAGAGAAGG